TTCATATTCTCTATTTCAGTTTAATTTTTTTAAACAAACTTTATGGCTTAGCTTTATTTAGCTTTATATCTGTGGCCACTAGGGGGCAGAAAAAAAAGATCAGTCTTTATTTTTCTGTTTCGCTCCTTGCAGCTGCCCTGACTTAGATGGAAAAAACCTTAAACCAAATACAGAATTTTACTAAAATATGATGCAGATAAATACAAAAGGACACAATTTCGTACCGGCCCAGAGAGTCCATCTCCTCCTGCAGCTGACTGTTCTGCTTCTTTATGAACTCCAGCTGAGCAGCCAGGCGCTCCTTCTCCTCGTGGATTTTCTCTCTCGCCGCTCGCTCGGCGTAGAAGTCCGAGGAGTAGACCTCTGCCTGCAGAGCGCACAAAAAACAGGAAATCRATTAAAAGAAAGCAAAGTGAAGCTTTTCAGTCGTCTAAACGATCCGCTCACCTGAGCCTGGAAGACCGAGATGGTCTCCAGCTCCTTCTCCTTCTGGAACATGTCCTGCTTCATCTCGTCGATCTTGCACTGTTTGAYGGCCAGCGCCTCTTCAGCCGCGGTCAGACGCTGCTGCAGATCCTCCACAAGCTCCTTGTCCACCAGCTGGGACTGCAGATCCAGACATGATCAAACGATCACATTTTTTAACCCTGTTGTTTTAACGTGTTTAAATCAGACCTACTTCTCTCTTCTTCTTCTCCTCTTTCAGCTCGTTGTAGTCTTCAAACAGCTTGGTGTAGGCGTCCTTCAGCTGTGCCAGGTTGGTCCTGTCGGGCAAGTAGAAGGCTTGTTTATTTTACTCCTCCCTTTATGCTTAGATGAGACGATCGACCTCTGACCTCTCCTCGTCCGCCTTCCTCTGCTCGATCTGAGTCTGAGCCTGGACGCTACCCAGCTGCAGCTTCAGCCGCTCGTTCTCCGTCTGCACGGCCTGCCGGTCCACCAGCTGAGCCTTCAGGGTCGATACGTCCTGCTCCACCTCCCGACATCTGCTCCCCGCAAAGAAACAAACAAGCAAAAAAAAAGGGAAAGATTTTGTGAAAGTTTGAATCTTCCTGAAGGATCCGGCAGGTTAGGCATCACGTCGAACCTGTCCTGCAGGTTCTTCTTCATGCCTTCGGCGTCGTCCAGCTTGCTCTGGGCCTGCTGCAGCTCCTTGAACAGCGTCATCACCTGAGCCTTCAGGGTCTCCACCTCAGACGCCGCCTGAAGCACAYGAGCGTTTCAGGCAAATTAAAAATAGAAGAACGCGTCGACGAAACTCTAAAAGCCGTAAAAAATATTTGCTCCCCACCTTCTCGGAATTCTCCTCCGTCTCCGTTTGGGTCGACGACTCCTCTCCAAACTTGCTCTCCTCCAGCTTTTTGATTCTGTTTGGACAAAGCAACAAATCTTACCGCAAAGATCAGCTTTTGTTGAGAATTAGCCGCGGCACTGCGCAATCACGCCGCCGTTTTCCCACACCTGGCAGCAGAGGCCTGTAGCTCCGCCTCCAGGCGCTCACAGCGCTGCGTCTCGTTCCTCAGCGACTGCAGCAGCTGGCTCACCGTCACGCCCTCGCTGTCCATCCGGGACGCCGTCATGCTGAGGTCGAGGCGACGGCTGCGCTCGGCGCCGCASGCCTCGTTCACGCCCTCCACGCCTCCGTCCTGAGTTGGGACAGACGGGGGGGATTATTTTTTAGATTCAGCCTCTGAAGCGGAGCGGGCGGCCACGCGGGTCGGCGTCCTCACCGACACTTTGATGACCTCGATGAAGGAGTCGTCCTGAGAGTCCTGCTCGGCCCTCAGCTGCAGCTCCGAGTTCAGAGCCACCAGGTCGTTCTTCTCAGCCTGCAGGCGGGCMACCTGAGCGCGCAGCACCTCTGCGTTCTGTTTGGACGAGACGTTAGTGAACACATTCAGACAGAAGCTAACAACAGATAGCCGCTCCACCTCACCTGACTCCCCGCCGGRGCTCCGCCCTCTCCGCCGGCCCTCTCCAGCTGTTTCCTCAGCTCCAGGTTTTCCACCGTCAGCACCTCGATGCGGCTCCGAGCTTCCTCGAGCCGGCTCTCCAGGAAGCCCCGCTCCTCCCGCTGCTTCTCCCGCCACGCCGTCAGACCCTCGAAACGCTCCTTCATGGTCAGGTTGGTCTGACGCAAGGCCTCTGGTTTCATTCAGCACAGAAACAAGTCTGTTTTGTGAATTTTATCTGAAGCTAAAGCTTTACACAACTTCATTAGAACTGGGGATGGATGACATGTATCAGTATCAGCCAAAAAATAAAAATAAATAACTGAATCGGTGCAGCTCTTAAAAAACCCCGCAGTTTAATAAAATCGCTGCACAAACACACAACAACACCACCTCTCACCTTTCAGGTCTCTGTTCTCCTGGATGAGGATGTTCATCTGCCTCACGGTTTCCTCCAGAGCGCCGGACTGAGCGGGGGAGCGAGAGATGTCGCCGTTCATCATGGGGCCTCCAGACGCCATGAGGCTGTAGATACACGATACAATCTGAAATGAGTGGAGAAGTCCGGAAACACACACACACACACACACACACACACACACTTAAACCTACTAAACACAGACTCTACTGGTCAAAGTTCCTCTGATAACCCAGATCACTGCAGGCAAAGTGTCTTCTGTATAGTTTCAGACGAGTGTAATGGTTCACATTAATCTCAGCTTTGAGGGTCACAGTTTCAGAAACAAAAACAAATGCCACAYGCAAAAAGAAAAAAATTGTRTAGGTCYTCTGGACGGGTTCTTCTCTAATGAAACGTTTCGTYTCTCCTCCAAGAGACTTCTTCAGTCTGAGAGTTTCAGGCAAAATTCAGGCTTTTAAGCCCTGCCTCCATGTGACTGATACTCACATCACATGGCTATCGTTGACACCTATTAACACCTATTGTTAACAGGGGGTGGAGTGATACTGGCAATAGCAGCACTGTAGGAGGGGGACAACTGAAAACGGAGGCCTCCACCTCTGTTTAATGATGGACGGTCTTTCTTCACAGCCAAGAAAAGAAAAGAAGCCATTTTTGTGAAGAAAGACCGTCCATCATTAAACAGAGGTGGAGGCCTCCGTTTTCAGCTGTCCCCCTCCTACAGTGCTGCTATTGCCAGTATCACTCCACCCCCTGTTAACAATAGGTGTTAATTAGGTGTCAACGATAGCCATGTGATGTGAGTATCAGTCACATGGAGGCAGGGCTTAAAAGCCTGAATTTWGCCTGAAACTCTCAGACTGAAGAAGTCTCTTGGAGGAGAGACGAAACGTTTCATTAGAGAAGAACCCGTCCAGARGACCTAYACWATTTTTTTCTTTTTGATTTTTTACCTGGATTACTGAGATGCATCAGGACAAATGCCACATGCTTGTTTTGTCTTTTACTCCGCACCGTTTACTTTAAACAAACAAAAACCCAACAAATAAAAAGGCGAACCGTCCAGACAGCTGCACTCAGTGATCTTTTTGTATTTCAATTTGCAGATGAAGTTGAAGTGAGGTTGTAAAATCAGCGTWGTGGACAAGGAAGGCACTTTTATTAAATATGTGTCATTCGAAGGAGCCTATTTTTAATTTATTGATTGACTGTTTACAGAAACCACAAGCGGTTGTAAAACGCAGCTCTGTGCGTTATGAGGCTGCCGAAATTTGTCACAGCCGATTCCAAACAGGCCTTATTGCCGGYCACAATTTCATCTAAACACAAGAATTGTTTGTCCTCGGGTGCATTCAAACCCTGCGACAGGAAAAAAAAATTTTTTTTGAAGGTTTTGTTGTCTTGAACAGTGAAATTTACAATGGTATTAGTATTTTCTACTCCTAAACATTAAATAAGGCAAGCAGACTTGTAGTTTTAATGGAGACTCCACAAAAACACGTGAAAACAATTTACTGCAATACCACGCGGAGCCACTTGGGGGCGGAAATGTTTCATTTAAAAATTCTTTTCAGAGCACCTTTAAACCCTCAGAACGAGTCCTTTAATTCACTCTGACAACTCGTGTTGACTAGAATTATCGTAAACCTTTAATAATCAGCTTATTTTATGGCGCAAAATTATTTTCTACTGTAAGTACTTTTTGCTAGATGTTCCTGAGKTAAATATGTAAAACACACTCTGGCATGATTAAGTGACTCAGCTCTCAGGAATGAGCTCAAGGTAACGAAACTAAACAAAGCATTATATAAAATATAGTTTTAGCAGCTTCTCCACCAACACAAGCGTTCAGGTAAATCTAAAGAAAGCAAAGCTAAAAGACAAAYACGCCCCAAAGGAGAGCTTATGCTATTAGTCACGATATCATATACATATATGTAAAAATAAAGTGTCAATGTCGACTTTCTRTTTACAGTTTTATTAATATTACTTTCACTTTCCTTAGTCGGCCTAACTCTCCTTCAAAACACTAAAAAGTTAACTCACAGAAAGGCGGATGTGGTTTAACCTCAGCCAAAAACTGCGTCACATCAAACTCCTAAAATATAAAGGTTAAGGTTTCGACTCACCTGTTGTCTGGTTAAATTAAACAAAGTCTGGCGCTGTTCGTTTCGATATAACAGATAACCTGGGAGAAAAGGAAAAGGTAAGCTGAGCTGAGCAGCCTTCTGCTCCTTGGTTTAGTTAGAGTTAGCGTAAAGCTGAAGTCAAGATGGAAATGTTAAGTTTCCTCTTTCTGCTTTCAAAATAAAAGAATGGATTTCAGCGTCTCGACTGATTTATCTTTGAAAAAAATTAATTGGTGAAATATTCTTTGCTTCAATATTAATATCCTTGGGTTTTTTATGTTGAAAACAGATTTATGTCTTTAATATAATCTTTTTATTAAAAAAAACACACTCGGACATCTGTTCCGGTCTGTAACTAATCCGCTAGCAAACTTGACATGTGGAGAATGGTTTCCGTTTCCTCAAAGTGATGTCACGGATCTGRCAACCAATGAGGTATATTTACTTAATGCACCTCATTGCTGGGAACAGAGCTGAGCGTGAAACAAGAAGCTGCGCGCAAACAGGTTCAACCCGTACAGTTGAAATCCATCCGCATGTTTTACAAATCAGCGAAAATGACGAAGCGAAAGGGGCGGGGCCCAGAAATCAGCTGACAGTGGGAATTCCCTTCAGRAGTCACATAACCACTAAAAACAAAATAATGGGCAGGGAAGTTCCCTAATTWGACGAAAAGCAGATTCTGACTCATAGCTTGGAATAATAAAATCGCAAGGTGCGTTCCTMATTACCAGCAGGTATAAAATAATTCAAGTTTATCATTCTGAGCTGAACTTGTTATATATAAACAGTATATACATACACACACATGCAGTGCATACATACATACATGCATGCATACATACATACATATACAGTATACATAGACAGACAGACAGACAGACAGACAGACAGACAGACAGACAGACAGACAGACAGACNAGACAGACAGACAGACAGACAGACAGACAGACAGACAGACAGACAGACAGACAGACAGTGGTGGGCAGCACAAAAAAATAGTTCCACTGGCCCTAAAACACTATCTGAAATATTTAGGTCCCCTAATTCTAAAGCACTGAATGCACTGGAAGTTTTAGCAAAAGCTMATTCTAAAGCACTAAAATAACCCWGTCAGCCCATGGAACATTCTTCAACAGACAACATGAGTCACATATTGCCATGCTGCTCTCTTAAGACTTATCATTGACGTTCCACAGCCTTATTTGGGTTAATTTATTGTCACCTAGTGGATAAGTGACACACACACATACAGATATAACAAAAACAAAATGTGTGACAGATTGCACCGTCAGCTGTTAACCTTAACGTTGATCAATAACATTTATAGACCTCAGTTAGTGCTTCTAAATTTAGCCTGTAAATTTAGCAAGTGTTAATATACTAATAAATTTTAAAATGAGCAAAAGCCCTAAAACACWAATCAGGAAATTAGTTCCCCTATTAATGCTTTGTTTCTCAACCTGTTTATTGAAATGAACTGTTCACMTTAATGCTCACTAGATGGCAGTGTTGTCTCAGAATAAGGCCTCATCTTTTCCTCATATTTAGCTGAAAAAACGCATATTACTAACAAAGTCACAGGTGATTTAGTATACGCATTCATGTGGGATATTTAACAATAATATATGTTTTTGCATACACTTTTTAATTATAGCCTATGATATAAAAAATATCACTTTGGTGTAGTAATAGCGTTTTGGTGCATCCATCTGAAACACCTTGACCCCCACCTTTGGAGAAGAACGAAGGTGGAGTTTGAGATTTGAAAGTTGTATTAATTCCAGTTCCCTTTTACCATTTTAAGTTATCTTTTGTCTAACAGTTAGTTGACTCATAAATATCTGCCAGCCCACACGGACGCACAAAATAACTGAGCGGCGAATCGGTCAGTGAATGCAGCACATACTGTTSGAGCGTTTTGTTCCCTCTGGGAAAGACAAAAACTCTTACTTTAGTTTCTGTRTATTTTTGAGTTTACTTTAYGGGACTTCAAAAGGATTAAGAAAAAACCACCAGGTAAGATTTATTTTTTGGTTTTCGGGATGCTTCCCTCAACTTTCCTCCTCGCCACACTSTGCGTTTTTGCGCACTTGGACACCTTGGACACATTTACGCACGGCTGCCAGCTGCCTTCCGAGTGGCGGCCGCTGAGCGAGGGCTGCCGGGCGGAGCTGGCGGAAATCATCGTGTACGCCCGGGTCCTGGCGATCCACCGGGAGCAGCTGGGCTTGAAGACCTTCAGCCTGCACAACGCGCTGCCCCTCGGCTTCGGCTACGAGAGCGCGGAGGAAGGGCTGCTGTACTCGGCGGAGGTGGAGCTGTTGTGCGACCAGGCCTGGGGCAGCATGCTGGAGGTGCCCTCTGGATCCAGGCTCAACCTGACCGGACTKGGGTACCTGTCCTGTCAGTCCCACACCGTGATGGAGAACTACTCCTACTTCTTTTTCCTCAGGTAGAYTGGGCACAGATGTTCACGTTTTTAGGTTTCTCTCTAATTTGTTGCCTCACAACCTGGAATTTAAAACTAATAAAGGTTTTCACCTCCTTTGTTTAGACGCTCCAATCATTATCTTCAAAATGTTGAGTTAAAATCAAATTGTAGTCAATTTTTGCGTCAAATATACTTTAGTTCTCATTATGTTGAGATCATCGCTACAGTGAAGCATGGTGGTGGYATTATCATGGTATRGGTATRTTTTTCATTGACCRTAACTTAGAAACTATGGCTCTGGTGAAGACTTGTTTAAGTCTTCCAGATGTCTGAGGCTGGGATGGGTGTTCACCTTTCRGCCTTACTGCTGAGGAACAGTTAAAGCCCAGACCTTAATCCAACTGAGAATAATGGTTTGATTTACAGGGAACATATCATGTAAAATCCACTTTTTACAATGTGGTAAAGAAGTATTTAAATGCAGCATATGTCTACTTTAAAAGCAGGCAGAGTGGGGTATGTGGCTGGCCGCCGGCGTGCTGGGGGTTCCCGGGGTCTGGGGCTGGGCGCTGGGGTGTGTGCCGGCCTGGCC